AATGCTTATTTTAAAAAGAAAAGGAGATTCTTTGATCCCAACGTATCCCAGTGTGAAGCCCAAGCCAGGGTGGGAGGGCTGGGAGTTGCCCGGGGAGGCCTCCACCAGCTAGAGGGAGAAACTGTCAGGCCCATAGGAAAGGGATTTGCAGTGCTCCAAGGCCAGACGGAGGGGGCTGAAACCTAATGGCACCTTTCCCCACTGGTAACTCGCACCCCAAGGGGACGAGACAATGTCCTGTGGGGCTGGTGGGAGGAAAAGACAGAAAGGAAGCACCAGCCCTTCATCCAGCCAAGCTGTTGAGACACAGTTGACATCACTGCCACCACCCTGGTCCTGCCCTCACCATTTCTCCCTGGACCATGATGGTGATGGCCTTATTCAACACATCCTCCCCACCATGACTTAACCCTCCTCCCACTCGCAGTCTCTCTGCCACCCTGCCTGCCACCAGGCACTCCTGCCAAGGCTCCCATCTGAACTCCCAGCTTTCCTGCTTCAGAATCTCCAATGACTCCCATGGTCTACGCGGTCAGCAAGCTATGTGGACCCAACCCAGCCTCTAAGTTATGAATGGTGTCTAACTTTCATGTTTAAAGATCTGTAGAAGGAAAAAAATAATAACATGTGACAGAGATGTCTGTTGCCTGCCAAGCCTGAAATACTTACTCTCTGGCCCTTCTCAAGATTTGTCATCCCTTGTAACTCTGGTGATGAATGAAAAAAGTCTGCATGTGCACGAGATCGTCCACGATCAGATGCTAACTCATTGGTCAAGCTTCACTCACAGGCTGAAAGCCCTCTGAGGCCAGCCACTGACTTACTCAGGGACACACTCTTTAGAACCAGGTTGCTTCATCCAAACTCTTGCCAGCGTTGTGTAGCTACATCTCTGAGGGCCAGCTCCCCTGGACAGTAGACTGTGGCTACCGTCTTTGCAGCCCCAGGCCTGACATGCTGTCCACACACCATAGGTATTTCCCTTGTACAGCAAGTCCCCTTGGGTTCAATCACTGAGTTGGGAAGATCCCTGGAGGAGGGCATGGCAACCTACTCCAGTATTCTTGCCTGGAGAATCCCCATAGACAGAGGAGCCTGGTGGGCTACAGTCCATGGGGTCACAAAGAGTCAGACACAGCTGAATAAGCATAACACAGCAAGTCCCCTACAGACAAACAAGTTCCTTTCCAAGGGAGTGTTGTAAGTCCAGTTTGTTTGTAAGTCCAACAAAATTAGCCTAGGTACCCAACTAATACAATCAGCTATATAGTACTGTCCTGTTATACTTTATAATACTTTTCACACAAATAATATGTAAAAAAACAAACACAAAAGAATAAAACAGTTTTAATCCTATAGTACAGTACCTTGAAAAGTACAGTATAGCAGTTGGCATACAGGAGCACATTCACATCTTTGAAAGTTCACAGCTTGTAGAGGACTATCTGCATTTGTTACCAAAGAGGAATTCATCTCATGTATGCCAATCTCTGTTTTCTCATCTTTAAAAGAATTTTGAACTCAATGATTTTTAAGCCCTCATGGCTCTGAAGTGACATAATTCTATAAGAAATAGATTTTAAACTAAAATGTGAACTAGAAAAAAATGTCTTGCCTGTGTCTCCTCAGAGAATTTCAGAAACTAATGCTACAATTTACAATAGCCAACACATGGAAGCAACCTAAATATATATCAACAGCTGAATGGATAAAGATATGGTACATATATACAAGGGAATACTACTCAGCCATAAAAAATGAAATAATGCCATTTGTAGCAACATGGAGTGATCTAGAGATGAGTGAAGTAAGTGAAGTTAGACAAAGACAAATATTATATAATATCAGTTATGCGTGCATGCTAAGTCACTTCAGTCATGTCTGACTCTTTGAGACACTAATGAGTATAGCCCACCAGGCTCCTCTGCCCATGGCATTCTCCAGGCAAGAATACTGGGAGTGGGTTGCCATGCCTCCTCCAGAGGATCTTCCTGACCCAGGGATCAAAACTTTTTTATGTCTCCTGCACTGGCAGACAGGTTCTTTACAGGAGTGCCACCTGGGAAGCCCTATAACATCTGTTATATCTGGAATCTAAAAAAAAAAATTATACAAATGAACTTATTTGCAAAACAGAAACAGACTCTCAGACTGTGCGCTTTCTCTCAATCCTGCCCACGGCCATCTTCAAGGCTCACGCTTACCACACTGGGGGTGCCCATGGAGTGCCAGCCATGGGGTAAGGGTGTGCAGGGTGAGATGAGTGCAGTGTTTGGGGTGCCCATGGGCCAGTTGGGGGGATCTGCAGTCAAGGTGTCCCTGATAGCTCCAGGGTGGGCTTCCTGATGGGAGTCAAAAGAGAAGTTTGAGGTTCTCCTACCCCAAGCCAGCCTGCTGTCCTCCCAGCACCCCCCACAGTGGTACACGCTCATCAGCATCGGCGGTGGTCAGGGAGAGAAGTAGGCGGTGCCCCTTGGAGCTGGGGAAGCCTGGTGCTCACTGACAAGGTCCTCTGGGCTCTGGGCTGTACCACCTCATGGGGGAGGGGGTCACAGGTGACGTGGGGCTTCCTCCTGAGACAGGCTGTGACCTGGGACCCTTTGCTGCAGTGCTTGCACCTGGACAAAGGAGATATTTGTCTCCTCCAGCAACAAAAGACAAAGAAACTTAAAAGGGACTAAAAATCACCGCGTGCATGTGCAATGAATGAAAAGACACACGAAGACCAAAAAGAGCCCAACTGCCACTTCAGAGGAGGCAGGAGCAACAGGAGGGTGGCGGGAGCTGAAGCAGGGTACAGCACACATGCCCCTTGCATGCAACACCACCAAAGGGGTGGGCAAAACACCTAAGCCACCTCTCCAGGCTGAGCCCTGAACCCACCCCGCCCTTACCCCATAAGGAACACACTTGCCCCACCTAAGGGAGCAAGGAAGGGCACCTGTTACTGGTTCTCACCACCCTCCACCCCGCCCACTGTAGCAGGGGCCCAATAAAGCCTTGCCTTAGTTCTTTATCTGACCTTTCATCAATTTCTATTGATGAAGGAGGCCAAGCATTTTGGTCAATAACACTCTTAGCCTCTTCAGTGCATCTGATCTCATGCGGGAACTTCTCTATTGCCCTCATCAGACCCTCACAAAGGCCCCCTCGTCTTTGGGTGATGGTCAACATCAGTATTCTTTGAAAGATGGGAGAAAACTCCTATTCCATCATTTTGATGGTGCCCTTGTCTGTAAGTGACATTTACATGTCATCTGGGATCTTCCTTCATCTGACACTTGCCTGACCCAATGCCCACAAAGGCTCAGAGTACCAGCCTAGGTTTTCTTCCATCCTGTTTTTACTTCCCTCATAAAGACACATCATTGGGGCTTATTGGCAACATGCCAAGGAAAGTCACTTCATTGTTTTAACCTGTCACCGTACCTCTATACAAGGCTCCCTCCTTGAACTAGAGAATGTGGCCCAGGGGAACCAGGGCCGCAGCAGCGCCTGCCACTGGCAGACTCTGCCTTCTAGAAACAGTCCTAGGCATGTCTTCCTGGGGGCAGCCGCTCCTGTCCAGGTTACAAAGCCCTGAAAGATCAGCCAAAAGTCCCTCAGTCATCACTCCCTGCCAGAGAGGGCACTGAGCTTGTGCTCTGCGCTGGCCTAGCACCCTCTCTACGTGGTATTCCCCAAGGGCTTCCCCAAAGCAAGAAAATAATTCTCCAAATTTAAAAGGGAGAAGGACCAGCTTTTTAAAAAAATCTTGACTCTTGCTGACCTAGATATTAGAGTGAGCTGCGAAAGAAATAGAAATTTAAAGTTGTGATTAAAAAAAAAATTTCTGGGAAATACAAAGATAATGTGGTACATATGAGGTGTCTAAGAAAAAAACAACTAATTCACATCTGTTTCATGATCAGGAAGCTAAGTTTAGGGAGGAAGGTTAGGGACTTATTAAAGGGCATATACTTATCCAGGATGGAAATTGTATTTTTATAGAACGTAAATATATACACATAATGATATATATTTATTCACATATAAATATAGTATATTTTATATATACATACATAATTATATATTTATATATAAATACAGAACTATGTTTACACATGCAAATATATACATATAATTACATATTTTATAGAGAGATAATAGATATATATTTTATATATTACATATATAATTCCCAAGCTAGTGTTTACATAATGTGAAAGTCACTCAGTCATGTCCAACTCTTTGTGATCCCATGAACTGTATAGTCCATGGAATTCTCCAGGCCAGAATACCAGAGAGGGTAGCTTTTCCCTTCTCCAGGGGATCTCCCCAACCCAGGGATTGAACCCAGATCTCCCATATTGCAAGCGGATTCTTGACCATATGAACCGCAAGGGAAGCCCCTGTTTATACAATGCTAGGCTATCTTTAGGTTTTCCCAGGTGGCACTAGTAGTAAAGAACCTGCCTGCTTATGCAGGAAATGTAAGAGATGTGGGTGCAGTCCCTGGTGTGGGAAGATCCCCTGGAGAAGGAACTAGCAACCCACTCCAGTATTCTGGCCCGGAAAAGTACATGGGCAGGGCAGCCTGGCAAGCTACAGTCCATTGGGTTTGCAAAGAGTCGGACAGAACTGAGCATAGTACACAGCAGGCTATCTTTACAGAGAGAGTCATGGATTGGTTTTCCCTAGTTGGTCTGTTGATAAAACTTGATGAAGACACTGCACATTCTGTCTCTGAGAAGCTTAACTTGAATGAGACACAGACAATTTAAACAAGGTCCAAGGTGGGTGATGGATGATCCTTGATAAACACGTGAATATATAGACATCTCTCATTATCCATTCCATGGGCCGATATGTCAGTCAGAAAAATTAAGAGTAACAAATGATGGAAAGGACAGGCCATATCTTTGGCTGAGTGGCAGGAAAGTCATCCAACCCTGGCATCAGGGAGGGACCATTGGAATCCAGCTAGAAACTAGGGAGGTTCCCCATGGCCAGTGCTCAGGATAGTTACCTCCAGCTGAGGACTCAACAGTGAAGTGCTTCTGTGGTTTGTATTCCAAATCATCCCAGTCCTCCACCTACAAAAATGTCCAGAAAAAAAAAGTCAGAAATCAAAGTTAATTTACACAACACAGAGAAAAACCAAATGCACCGAAACTGTATAACATTTTCTTTTATGAAGAAAGACCGCTTCAAGAGACAGATTCTGCAGTAATCCGTTCTGACTGCTAAGACGATTAAACAAGCGGGTGTGCCGCAGAGGAAGGGCTGTGGACAGGATTCTCTCCCAGGGAGAGAGAGAAATCACAGAGATGTTCCATAAATCTCTTCTCGTAATTTGAAAACCAGAAGGAGATAACTGAGTGACAGCCCCAACCATGCCTGTCTAGGCAGTGACTAAGCCACAGCCACCATCTCTCCAATCAGTGGGAGGGAGGCTCCCTTCTCTTTCCATGAGGTCACAGTCATTTATCCCCTGAGTATTATCACCTGACCTGGTATCATCAGACGATTCTGTTACTGGTTAAAACAAGGAGCGATGGGTCTTGCTCTGCCCCAGAAAGACACCCCCACTGCTTCCATGGTGAACTAAACCGAACAGGCTTGGACGCCACCCCAGACACCAACTTTCAGCCAGGGATGCTCCGCCAGCCCTTGCAACCAAGACCAGTTTTCTTCACTGCGTACTGATGTCTGCAAGCAGATCCAGACACAAGAAGGCAGATGGTGCTTTCAGATGCTCTTCTCAGGGGTCCACCTCTCTACCCTCAGAGAATGTCCTCTGTAACTGCAGCCCAAGTGATGGACAATAACCCTCTCCAAGACAAGCTTCTCTGATTATTTGACTCTCTGGTCACTAATGTGTTCTGTCTCGGCCTTTCTGCCTCAACACGAAAAGATGAGGGCTGTCCCTGTCCTGTTCCAGCTCATCCCCTCAGAGTCTTCCAGAGTCAGGATTTTCCACTTTCAGAGAGCTGACTCAATCTGACAGAGTTTTCAAAGATAGCAGAAATTTTTTTCTTTTTTTGACCTAGAGCCACTATCAGTCACAATTGTTGAACTTGAGATTACTTTAAAGTTTTCACTGCCACCTGAAAAAAAAAAAAAAAATCATAGTACAAGTACCCACGCTTGAAAAAATGGAATTTGCTCTTCCAAGAGTTACTTGCCTACATATTTTTCAACCATGACTGATTTTCTCAACTCCTAGCTAGATTTCAAGCATTCTGTGTTCATTTCCTCATCTTCATGCCTTTCCAGCACCATTTCTCCTGCTAAATGGGGGAGATTTTTTCATACAATCCCACCTGATCTTCAAGAGACCCCTGACTCTTTCAGCCATGTTGTCAATACCCTGGTGTACACTCCACCTGCATCTCTCATCTTTCCTCAGATTCTACCTAGACTGTGTGTGGCTTTTCATGTGACATGAGGATCTATCTTTTCTAAAATTGGTTATAAATTCCTTGAGGACAAAAATGTTCGTTTGTCACTTCTTTCGTATGCAAGTCTCTGCCTCCTACTGATGACCATGTACCCTCACATGTGAAAAATTATATGCTTAATTTTTTTTTGGACTGCACCATACAGTATGTGGGAACCCTCATACCCTGCATTGGAAGTGTGGAGTTCTAACCACTGGGTCACCAGGGAAGTCCCTACATTTCTTTTTAAACTTGAAATTACTCCAAACAAGAAAACATAAAAACAAGAGAGTGCTGGTGATCCTTGTCAGTTTGTACTTCATTCCAAGTATATTGATTTAAAGCCACTCTTTTATTTTTTTTTCTGCTGGTCCAGCATTTAGGGAAATTTTTATGCAAAGCATGAGATCCAGCGACCAGGGAAAATGATTCACTTCCCAAGCAGCTGATATTCTAACCTCATCTCTCTCATACCTGATCAATGCTCAGAAAGGTGTGCTTTTATCATCAGAATAGTAAATGTTTCACTGACTCATCACTATGTACCCAGTACTAGATACCATGCTAAAGAACTTTACATGCATGAATTCACTGAATCCTCACCACAAGCCAAGATGGGAAATGTGATCACCCTCATGTTACAAATGAACCAACCCAGAGATATGAAAATTGAGTACCTTGTCCAAGCTCATGCAGACCTGCACTGGATACAGCAAAAATGCAAACCCTAGATTTGTCTACACCATTGCTACTCACCGTGGTCCCTTGACTGGCAGCTTATTGCACACATTAGAATGCAAATTCTCACTCCTGCCCTAGACTCACTGAATCAGAAGCCTTAGAGTGGGGCCCCACAATCTGGGCTTTAGCAAAGTCTCAGGTCATTCAGATAGGGAGTTAGCAAACTTTTTCCTATAGGTCTAGATGGTAAATATTTTGGAACTGGATGCCATAAGAGTCACAGAGGAGACATAAACAAAGGGATGTGACTGGGTTCCAATAAAAGTGTATTCACAAAATCAGATGGCCAGCCATGGGGCTGCAGTCTGACTACCCCAGTAATTCTTGTATAAGAAGTGTTCTGAGGATAGTTGAGCAAAACGTTACCTTATTAAAGTGAAGCCGCTCAGTCGTGTCCAACTGTTTGCGACCCTGTGGACTGTAGCCCACCAGGCTTCTCCATCCATGGGATTCTCCAGGCAAGAAAACTGGAGTGGGTTGCCATTTCCTACTCCAGGGGATCTTCCCAACCCACGGATCGAACCCAGGTCTCCCGCATTGCAGGCAGACGCTTTAACCTCTGAGCCACCAGGGAAGCCCAATTACCTTATTAAAGATGGGTCATATTAGAATTGATCTACAATGTCATGTAAGTTTCAGGTGTACACCACAGTGATTCAGTAATACACAGACATGTACATCTACTATTTTTTGGATTCTCTTCCCTTACAGATTATTACAAAACTGAGTATAGTTCCCTACACTATACAGTAGGTCCTTGTTCATTATCTTATATATACATATATAAGATATATATATATATATATATGAAAGTGAAAGTTGCTCAGTCGTGTCCTGACTTTGCAACCCCATGGACTATACAGANACTGAGCGACTTCACTTTCACTTTACACTTTCATGCATTGGAGAAGGAAATGGCAGCCCACTCCAGCGTTCTTGCCTGGAGAATCCCAGGGACGGCAGAGCCTGGTGGGCTGCCGTCTATGAGGTCGCACAGAATCGGACACGACTGAAGCAACTTCACAGCAGCACAGTGGCTGCACAAATTTACATTCCTACCAACATTGTAAAGTTTTAATTAACAAAGTTCAGAGTCATTCAGAAAAACATTTTATAAAATTATGTCAATTTTCTTTTCAACTAACTTGCCCAGTGAAAAGGTACAAGAATGTTTTTGGCAAGTTGAATTTACTACAGATGACAAATTAAAGCTTTTTTGTTGTTGTTTAATAGACTTTAAGCTTCAAGTTCATTTAATAAAGTCTCTAGCCCTAAGTGCATTTTCAATAGAAGTTTTAATAGAACCATTTTGTAAATTAAGGGAATACTTGTATGTGATTTAAAAAAAATTCAGGCTATAAAGAAATTAAAGTTTAATTAACTCACCTTCCTTATGTCTATCCTCACATCCATTCACCAGAAGTGACAGCTGTGACGCAATGTCTATAAAGCACAATAAAACAAAGTCTCTGTGTGTGTGTGCATGCTCAGTCATGTACAACTCTCTTCGACCCCATGGACTGTAGCCCTCCAGGCTCCTTTGTTCATAGGATTTTCCAGGCAAGAATACCAGAATAGGTTGCCATTTCCTTCTCCAGGGTATCTTCTCAACCCAGGAATCATCTGCCTGTATTTAAATATTATTCCAGGAATACTTAAATAATATGACTGAACCCATAGAAAAGGAAGAGTAACTGATCCTATGTCATAAACCGTGGCCACTTTAAGGAGAATGTTCCAAACTCCCAGGTCATGCTCAGCTTCTGCTGTTTCTTCTACTTCATCTCACACTCACTTACTCCTTTTTTGTTTTTCTCAAACAAAACTTCTTTAGTATTTTTTTTTTTCCATTTGGGTGCCTGGTTTTGAAACTTTCTGAGATTTTGCTTACCTGAGAATGTCTTTATTTTGCCCTCATCTTTGATTGATAGTCTAGCTAGGTATAGAATTCTATGTTCAAAATCAGGTGTTGGCAAACTATGGCCCACTGGTCAAACCCACCCTTTACTTGTGTTGGTAAATGAAGGTTTGCAGAAACACAGCCATGCTCATTTCTTTATAGACGTTACGGCTGCTTTTATGCTACACTGGCAGAGCTGAATAGTTACAAAAAAGACCATCCAACCCACAAAATGTGAAATATTGACCATCTTTCCCCTTAAAGGAAAAGTGTGTGTACCCTTATTTAAAATCGTTATAACTCAGGATGTTGAGCTTCTGCTTCATCGTTTCTTGCTGACGAGATCTCTGAAGGCTCTGAGTTCTTGTCCTATGTTGTTGATGTCAGTCTGATTATTAGGCATCTTGCTTTTTTCTCTTTGGAGGCTCGTTAGGGTTTCTCTTTATCTTTGTATATACCTCAAGTATCACCAGGTTTTATTTTTAATTTATCCTTTTTAGTACTCGGTGGAAGTTTTTCAATTAAATATTCATGTCTTCCTTTACATAAGATGGTCTTCCTCTACTTTTTTTTTTTTAATCCCCTTCATTTTCTCTGTTAGCTATTCTTTTCCTATGAGAAGGTTATTGAACATCTGGTCCTATGCTCATACTTGTTAATTCTTCATTTATCATTTTTGTCTTTTTGCTCTCCATGCTGAAAAATTTCCTTTATTTTTCTTCCAAGATATTTCTTTAGTCATGTCCAACATATTTTTCAATCCAGTTGTTGATTTATAATTTTAGCAATATTATTTTATTTTTTTTTAACTTGCAACCTTTTATTTTAGACTATAGCCAGTTAACAATGTTGTAACAGTTTTGGGTGCCCAACAGAGATATTCAGCCATACATCTACATGTATCTATTCTCCTCAAAGCTCCTCTCCCATCCAGGCTGCCATAAAACATTGAGTTCCCTGTGCTATACAGTAGGTTTTTGTTGGTTATCCACTTTAAATATAGTCATGTGTA